TCAGTCTCACCTGTCCTGCAGGTGTGTTACTGTGTTTATTACAGCTCAGTCTCACCTGTCCTGCAGGTGTGTTACTGTGTTTATTACAGCTCAGTCTCACCTGTCCTGCAGGTGTGTTACTGTGTTTATTACAGCTCAGTCTCACCTGTCCTGCAGGTGTGTAGCTGTGTTTATTACAGTTCAGTCTCACCTGTCCTGCAGGTGTGGTGCGGACAGCTCTACCTGACATGGACCGAGAGGTGCAGGACCATTACCTGCTGATCGTCCAGGCCAAAGACATGATTGGTCAGATGGGTGGTTTGTCCGGAACTACCTCTGTCACAGTGAGGCTGACTGATGTCAACGACAACCCCCCTCGCTTCCCCCGCAGTAAGTCTGACTTTTGAACTGTAGATGTGACATCATCAACGCACTGACGTGACATCTGAAGGTGATTCAGGAACCTTTTTGTACCTGTGTGCTTACCTGTGTGTGTGTCTGTCCCTTCAGAGAGTTACCAGTTCAGGGTTCCAGAATCGACACTGGTTTCCGCCGTAGTCGCTAAGATCAAAGCCCTGGATCTAGACATCGGTCCAAACGCTGAGATGGACTACAGGATCCTGGATGGAGATGGACTGGGAACCTTCAGGATGATCACTGATCCGAACACACAGGAGGGACTGATCACGCTGCAGAAGGTAATGGTTTCTTTCCAGAAACTTCTGTCAACTAGAGTTGGACAGTATCCAAATTTTGTTAACGTTAAACCTTCCCCACATTTTCCCGGGTTCCTGGTTTCCTTGTAGCAGGTCCTGGTTTCCTTGTAGCAGGTACTGGTGTCTTTGTAGCAGGTTGTGGTTTCCTTGTAGCAGGTCCTAGTTTCCTTGTAGCAGGTACTGGTGTCCTTGTGGCAGGTACTGGTTTCTTTGTAGCAAGGACTGGTTTCCTTAAAACAGGTCCTGGTTTGTTTGTAGCAGGTCCTGGTTTCCTTCAAACAGGTGTTGGTTTCCTTGTAGCAGGTACTGGTGACCTTGTAGCAGGTACTGGTTTCTTTGTTGCAGGTACTGGTTTCCTTAAAACAGGTCCTGGTTTGCTTGTAGCAGGTACTGGTTTCCTTGTATCAGGTCCTGGTTTCCTTGTTGCAGGTTCTGGTTTCCTTGCAGCAGGTACTGGTTTCCTTGTAGCAGGTACCGGTGTCTTTGAAGCAGTTTGTGGTTTCCTTGTAGCAGGTCCTGGTTTCCTTAAAACAGGTATTGGTTTCCTTGAAGCAGGTACTGGTGTCCTAGTAGAAGGTCGTATTTTCCTTGTAACAGGTCCTGTCTTCATTGTAGTAGTTCGTAGTTTCCTTTTAGCAGGTCCTGGTTTCCTTGTAGCAGGTCATGGTTTACTTGTAGCAGGTCGTGGTTTCCTTGTAGCAGGTACTGGTTTCCATGTAGCAGGTACTGGTATCCTTGTAGTAGGTACTGGTGTCCTTGTAGCAGGTGCTGGTTTCCTTGTAGTAGGTGCTGGTTTCCTTGTAGCAGGTCCTGGTTTCCTTAAAACAGGTATTGGTTTCCTTGAAGCAGGTACTGGTGTCCTAGTAGAAGGTCGTATTTTCCTTGTAACAGGTCCTGTCTTCATTGTAGTAGTTCGTAGTTTCCTTTTAGCAGGTCCTGGTTTCCTTGTAGCAGGTCATGGTTTACTTGTAGCAGGTCGTGGTTTCCTTGTAGCAGGTACTGGTTTCCATGTAGCAGGTACTGGTATCCTTGTAGTAGGTACTGGTGTCCTTGTAGCAGGTGCTGGTTTCCTTGTAGTAGGTGCTGGTTTCCTTGTAGCAGGTCCTGGTTTCCTTAAAACAGGTATTGGTTTCCTTGAAGCAGGTACTGGTGTCCTAGTAGAAGGTCGTATTTTCCTTGTAACAGGTCCTGTCTTCATTGTAGTAGTTCGTAGTTTCCTTTTAGCAGGTCCTGGTTTCCTTGTAGCAGGTCATGGTTTACTTGTAGCAGGTCGTGGTTTCCTTGTAGCAGGTACTGGTTTCCATGTAGCAGGTACTGGTATCCTTGTAGTAGGTACTGGTGTCCTTGTAGCAGGTGCTGGTTTCCTTGTAGTAGGTGCTGGTTTCCTTGTAGCAGGTCCTGGTTTCCTTAAAACAGGTATTGGTTTCCTTGAAGCAGGTACTGGTGTCCTAGTAGAAGGTCGTATTTTCCTTGTAACAGGTCCTGTCTTCATTGTAGTAGTTCGTAGTTTCCTTTTAGCAGGTCCTGGTTTCCTTGTAGCAGGTCATGGTTTACTTGTAGCAGGTCGTGGTTTCCTTGTAGCAGGTACTGGTTTCCATGTAGCAGGTACTGGTATCCTTGTAGTAGGTACTGGTGTCCTTGTAGCAGGTGCTGGTTTCCTTGTAGTAGGTGCTGGTTTCCTTGTAGCAGGTCCTGGTTTCCTTAAAACAGGTATTGGTTTCCTTGAAGCAGGTACTGGTGTCCTAGTAGAAGGTCGTATTTTCCTTGTAACAGGTCCTGTCTTCATTGTAGTAGTTCGTAGTTTCCTTTTAGCAGGTCCTGGTTTCCTTGTAGCAGGTCATGGTTTACTTGTAGCAGGTCGTGGTTTCCTTGTAGCAGGTACTGGTTTCCATGTAGCAGGTACTGGTATCCTTGTAGTAGGTACTGGTGTCCTTGTAGCAGGTGCTGGTTTCCTTGTAGTAGGTGCTGGTTTCCTTGTAGCAGGTCCTGGTTTCCTTAAAACAGGTATTGGTTTCCTTGAAGCAGGTACTGGTGTCCTAGTAGAAGGTCGTATTTTCCTTGTAACAGGTCCTGTCTTCATTGTAGTAGTTCGTAGTTTCCTTTTAGCAGGTCCTGGTTTCCTTGTAGCAGGTCATGGTTTACTTGTAGCAGGTCGTGGTTTCCTTGTAGCAGGTACTGGTTTCCATGTAGCAGGTACTGGTATCCTTGTAGTAGGTACTGGTGTCCTTGTAGCAGGTGCTGGTTTCCTTGTAGTAGGTGCTGGTTTCCTTGCAGCAGGTCCTGGTTTCCTTAAAACAGGTATTGGTTTCCTTGAAGCAGGTACTGGTGTCCTAGTAGAAGGTCGTAGTTTCTTTGTAACAGGTCCTGTCTTCATTGTAGTAGTTCATAGTTTCCTTGTAGCAGGTCCTGGTTTACTTGTAGCAGGTCCTGGTTTCCTTGTAGCAGATACTGGTTTTCTTGTAGAAGGTACTGGTATTTTTGTAGCAGGTCCTGGTTTCTTTGTAGTAGGTCGTAGTTTCCTTGTAGCAGGTACTGGTATCCTTGTAGTTGATACTGGTGTCTTTGTAGCAGGTGCTGGTTTCCTTAAAACAGGTATTGGTTTCCTTGAAGCAGGTCGTAGTTTCCTTGCAGCAGGTCCTGTCTTCCTTGTAGCAAATCATAGTTTCCTTGTAGCAGGTCCTGTTTTCCATAAAACAGGTCCTGGTTTCCTTGTAGCAGGAACTGGTGTCCTTGTAGCAGGTTGTGGTTTTTTTGTAGCAGGTCATGGTTTTCTTGTAGCAGGTCGTGGTTTCTTTGTAGCAGGTCCTGTTTTCCTTAAAACAGGTACTGGTTTCCTTGTAGCAGGAACTGGTGTCCTTGTAGCAGGTCCTTGTAGCAGATACTGGTTTCTTTGTACCTTGTAGCAGGTCGTGGTTTCCTTGTAGCAGGTCGTGTTTTCTTTGTAGCAGGTCCTGTTTAAAATTGATTGATTGATTGATTGATTGATTGATTGTAGCAGGTACTGGTTTCCATGTAGCAGGTCTTGTTTTCCTTAAAACAGGTACTGGTTTCCTTGTAGCAGTAACTGGTGTCCTTGTAGCAGGTCCTGGTTTCTTTGTAGCAGATACTGGCTTTCTTGTACCTTGTAGCAGGTCGTGGTTTCCTTGTAGCAGGTCGTGGTTTCTTTGTAGAAGGTCCTGTTTTCCTTAAAACAGGTACTGGTTTCCTTGTAGCAGGAACTGGTTTCTTTGTCGCAGGTCCTGGTTTCCTTGAAACGGGTACTGGTTTCCTTGTACCTTGTAGCAGGTCGTGGTTTCCTTGTAGCAGGTACTGGTTTCCTTGCAGCAGGTCCTGGTTTCCTTTAAACTGGTCCTGGTTTCCTTGTAGATGGTCCTGGTTTCTTTGTAGCAGGTCCTGGTTTCCCTGTAGCAGGTACTGGTTTCCTTTAAACAGGTACTGGTTTCCTTGTAGCAGGAACTGATGTCCTTGTAGCAGATCGTGGTTTCCTTGTACTTTGTAGCAGGTCGTGGTTTCCTTGTACCTTGTAGCAGGTCGTGGTTTCCTTGTAGCAGCTCCTGGTTTCCTTGTATCAGGTACTGGTTTCCTTGAAACTGGTCCTGGTTTCCTTGTAGATGGTCCTGGTTTCTTTGTAGTAGGTCCTAGTTTCCTTGTAGCAGGTATGGGTTTCCTTGAAACAGGTACTGGTTTCCTTGTTGATGGTCCTGATTTCTTTGTAGCAGGTACGGGTTTCCTTGAAACAGGTACTGGTTTCCTTGTTGATGGTCCTGATTTCTTTGTAACAGATACTGGTTTCCTTGTACCTTGTAGCAGGTACGGGTTTCCCTGTAGCAGGTACTAGTTTCCTTGTAGCAGGGCCTGGTTTCCTTGTAGCAGGTACTGGTTTCCTTGAAACTGGTCCAGGGTTTCCTTGTAGATGGTCCTGGTTTCTTTGTAGCAGGTTCTAGTTTCCTTGTAGCAGTTACGGGTTTCCTTGAAACAGGTGCTGGTTTCCTTGTTGATGGTCCTGATTTCTTTGTAGCAGGTCCTAGTTTCCTTGTAGCAGGTACGGGTTTCCTTGAAACAGGTGCTGGTTTCCTTGTTGATGGTCCTGATTTCTTTGTAGCAGGTCCTAGTTTCCTTGTAGCAGGTACGGGTTTCCTTGAAACAGGTACTGGTTTCCTTGTTGATGGTCCTGATTTCTTTGTGGAGGGTCCTAGTTTCCTTGTAGCATGTCCTGGTTTTCCTTGAAACAGGTACTGGTTTCCTTGTTGATGGTCCTGATTTCTTTGTAGCAGGTCCTGATTTCCATTTCTTTGAAACATGTTCTGGTTTCTTTGTAGCACATCCTGGTTTCCCTGTAGCAGGTGCTGGTTTCCTTACAGCAGGTACTGGTTTCTTTGTAGCAGGTACTGGTTTCCTTGTAGCAGGTACTGGTTTACTTGTAGCAGGTACTGGTTTCCTTTTTAGCAGGTACTGGTACATGTAGCAGGTTCTAGTTTCCTTGTAGCAGATCCTGTCTTCCTTGTAGCAGGTACTGGTTTCCTTTTAGTAGGTACTGGTTTCCTTGTAGCAGGTTGTGGTTTCCTTATAGCAGGTTCTAGGTTTTTTTTGTAGCAGATCCTGTCTTCCTTGTAGCAGGTATTGGTTTCCTTTTAGTAGGTACTGGTTTCCTTGTAGGAGGTCGTGGTTTCCTTTTAGCAGGTACTGGTTTCCTTGTAGCAGGTCATGGTTTCCTTATCGCAGGTTTTGGTTTTCTTGTAGCAGATCCTGTCTTCTTTGTAGCAGGTACTGGTTTCCATGTAGCAGGTACTGGTTTCCTTGTAACAGGTCCTGATTTGCTTGTCGCAGGTCCAGGACTCATTGTAGGCAGTGACCTGTTTCATTGAAGAACATTCCGAAGTTTGTCTCTGTTGTTGGTTCCTTCGTCCGGAACTTGAACAGACCTTAGTCCACCTTTGAGAACACGTGCAGCTTTGGATTGTCTTCTTCTCTGATCACTACATTAGCCCACGATCTGCTCCAGTGGCAGCCCCAGCGGAGTGTCTTCTTCTGTAGAACAGCTATCAGAACGCTGGGTCTGAAGTTTAGATTCACATCACTGATGCCTGGAAACACCAAAAACGTTCTGCCCTCAGGTTCAGTCAGAGTTTTCAGGACAACGTTCAGTCTGTCCTGTTTAATCAGACGCAGTTTCTCGTCATGACGACAAAATGAAACAGGAAGTAGAAAAGTTTAATCTTCTGAGCATCCCCACCCCCTTCCTCCAGACTCTGGATTTTGAAACCAAGTCGAGCTTCACACTGCGAGTTGAGGCATGCAATCGTTACGTGGACACTCTTTTCCTGACCATGAGTCCATTCAGCGACGTGGTGACGGTTCGTCTGCTGGTGGAGAACCTGGACGAGCCTCCAGTCTTCTCCTCCTCCGTCAGTCGGATGATGATCTCTGAGGCAGCTCCAGTGGGAACTGATGTGGGATCAGTTTCAGCTCACGATCCCGATGCCAAGAGCAGTCCCATCAGGTATGACACATCAACACTGTCACAGACACAGAATCAATGGGAGCGCTGAGGTTTAATGTTTGAAACTGTCCGCAGGTACTCGATAGACTGGAAGTCAGACGTGGAGCATTACTTTGATGTTGACAGCAGTTCAGGTGTGATCACAACAGCCCGACCTCTGGACAGAGAGGTCATCGCTCTACACAACATCACCATCCTCGCCATGGAGAGCCGTGAGTCACGTTTAAGGCGTAAGCGGGTTGGGGTTAAGGGGTCAGGGTCAGGGGTTTTGGGGGGGGTTATGTCAGCTCTAACCCTGCTGAAAATCCAGGAACTCTGTCCACTAGAACCAAAAACATCTGTGAGACATCAGTGTTGCACCCTGAGACACCCTGCCCCCAAACTACAAGGCGTCACGGTCATGGCTTCCCCTGTTCCCAGTCTTTATGCTAAGCTAAGCTAACATGCTGCTGACTGTCCAGATGTGGGGACGGGATCAATGTGAACATGGAGAGGATTTTCCTGAATGATGAACCCTTAACTTCCTCTTTGTTATTTCCTGAATGTGTGGAGTCTTTTATTTTGAAGAGGTGTACCTGACAGGTGTGTTACTGTGTGTCAGTGGATCCGTCTCAGGTGGGGAAAGCTGTGGTTCTAGTCTCTGTGACGGACGTTAACGACAATGCTCCAAGCTTCGCCGTTGAGTACGAAACCTTCGTCTGTGAGAACAGCCGACCTGGACAGGTAAATCTGAAAACCTGGTGCCATCTGCTCCACCACTGACATCAGATTAAAACTCTTTTCTGTCAGTTAATTTTTATTTTTTTTAAATCAGCAGAAATTCAAACACGAAGATTCGGATCACAAATGTTTTTATAGAACAACATATGAGTACGAGTACGAGTATGAACATATGAAATATGAGTTTTTAAAACTGGATGTTTGAGCCGACTCATCACTGAAAAGAAAAACTGACTTTAACAAACAGTGAATTCATCTGTAAATAAATCAGACGGACGGACACATTTGTGAAGCAAAGTTTTCATTGATCCAAAAACACCTGCTGAAAATCAAACGATCCATTTCCTCTAAATTAGAACATCATATGTTTGATTATAATCAGACATACAGTCGTCAGCGCTGCGTTCACTGACACTGATGTTTATGAATGTTCACTTTAACTATGTTGTCCCACTCGGACGGAAAAGGTCCTTTTCAGTCATTTTTTAGTTGTATTTTTTAATAGCTTTGGCTGTGTTCATGCACATAGCATGACATTTGGTCAGAAAACTTAATTTTGGTAATATTTTGAAATTTTAAAGCTGCTCCTAAAATACACACATGGCAACCTTTTAAGACACCATGCCCCCTCAGCCGAAAAAGGTCCCCATTGAAACCCATTAAAATGACATTTTTTGATTCCCCTGCAATTTACATAAAAAACATGATTTTTCTATCTCTGGCAGCCAGGTTGGGAAGAGAGACCCAATAAGAAGAAAAAAACACCAGATTGAGCCATTTTCTACTTTAAGAGCCCCGCTGTCTTTTCAATGCAGTTCCTGGTTTCGCCACTTGAGGCACTATAGGCCCCTGGCCTAAAATGGTGTTGCTGTGCTCATCAATCAATCAATTTTATTTATAAAGCCCAATATCACAAATCACAATTTGCCTCACAGGGCTTTACAGCATACGACATCCCTCTGTCCTTATGACCCTCACAGCTGATCAGGAAAAACTCCCCAAAAAACCCTTTAACGGGGGAAAAAAACGGTAGAAACCTCAGGAAGAGCAACTGAGGAGGGATCCCTCTTCCAGGACGGACAGACGTGCAATAGATGTCGTACAGAACAGATCAACATAATAAATTAA